AGCCCAAATGACATCACAAGAAATTTGTGGTGACCACAACGAGTCCTGAATGCCGTCTTTAGAATATCCGAATCCCGAATTTTCAACTGGTAGTACCCAGATCACAAATCAATTTTGGAGAATACCCTTGCTCCTTGAAGTAGGTCAAATAAATCATCAATACATGACAAAGGATACTTATTCTTGATTGTAACTTTATTCAGTTGCATGTAATCGATGCACATCCTCATAGTACCATCTTTATTTTTCACAAATAAAACTGGTGCACTCCAAGGTGACACACTAGGCCTAATAAACCCCTTATCAAGGAGTTCGTGAAGTTGCTCTTTCAATTCTCTCAATTCAGCTGGTGCCATACGATACAGAGGAATAGAAATGGGCTGAGTGCCCGACACCAAGTCAATACCGAAATCAATATCCCTGTCGGGCGGCATACGCGACAGGTCTGCAGGATATACATCAGGAAAGTCTCTCACTAATGGTACTGAATCAATAGTAGGAGTATCTGCATCACCATCTCACACAAAAGTCAAGTATGACAAACACCCCTTCCCAACCATATGTTGGGCTTTCAAATAAGAAATTACCCTGCTAGGAACATAATATAGAGAACCTCTCAACCTTTGGCAACCTCGGCATTGTCAACGTCACGGTTTTTGCGTGACAGTCCAGAATGGCATGACATGGAGACAACCAATCCATACCCAGAATTACATCTAAATCAACCATATTGAGCAATAAAAGATCAACTCTAGTCTCCAGTCCCCCAATAGTTACCACACATGATAGATACACACGGTCCACAATAATAGTATCGCCCACCGGTGTAGATACACGAACAAGTGAAACTAAGGACTCACGGGGCATATTCAGATAATGAGTAAAGTATGATGACACATATGAATAAGTAGAACCAGGGTCAGATAATATAGAAGCCTCACTATGGCACACTGAGACAATACCTGTGATCACTTCATATGAGGCAACATCATCTGGCCTGGCAGGAAAAACATAGAATCGGGCCTGACCGCCACCTGATCGTCCGTCCCCCCCCTCCTTTCTTGGGCGACCCCTAGCTGACTGACCCCCACCCCGCACTGGCTGGGCTGGTGGAGAAGTAACTGGTGCTGAAGTCGTAGTTTGACTCCTCTGTTGCAATGGACCTCCTGAGCGATGAGGACACTGCCTCCACATATGCCCAAATTCTCCGCACTCAAAGCAGCTCCCCGATACTGGTGGTGGTGCGGACTGAATCGGGCCCCAAGAACCAGAATAACTGCTAGAAGCACCCGGTGCAAATGAACCCTAAACTAAAGAGGCACAGCACGAACTCTGGGCTGGGAGGGCACCAAGGGATGGCTGACCCTGATGAGAACTGTATGAACCATGGCTCGATGATGCACCACGGTGAACTGGACGAAGCGTTTGAGCATGTCTGTAAGGACGACCCCTACAGCGGTAAAACTGACCCCCTAAAGGAACACCGCTAAAATCACCTTAACCACAAAGCCTCTTGGCCTCCCTCTCTCCACGTTCCTGACTACGAACCATCTCTATCTGCCGAGCAATATCAACTACCACATCAAAAGTAGCACCACATACACTCTCCAGAGTCATAAGTAACCGCAACTGATATGTGAGGCCATCAATGAATCTCCTAATCCTTTCCCTATCAGTGGGAACCAACCAAATAACGTGACAAGCCAACTCAGAAAATCTCATCTCGTACTGTGTCACAGACATTCCATCCTAACGTAACTGCTCAAACTATCTGTGCAGCTCCTCTCTATGAGACTGCGGAACAAACTTCTCCAAAACAAGAACGGAGAATTCTTGCCATGTAAGTTGTACTGCACCGACCGGCCTGCTCCTCTCATCGTCCTCCCACCATCTGAAGGCAGCCCCAGAAAACTGAAAAGTAGTGAACGAGACCCCACTTGTCTCCAAAATACCCGTTGTCTGAAGCATCCCCTGGCACTTATCCATAAAACCCTAAGCATCCTCTGACTCAACACCGCTAAACGATGGAGGTCGAAGCTTCCCAAATCTCTCAAGTCTCCTCTGCTCATCATCTACCACAACGGGGACTATCGGGGCCTGAGCAGCTGCAGCTGGCTGGGCTGGTAGTGCCCTCGGTATCTGAAGTCCCTGCACTACCTGCTCTAGAGCATGGGCAACAGGGGTATGAGTACCTCCCCCGGCCTGAGAAGTGGTTGGTGCGGCCTGAGCCGAAACCACCTGAGCAAGGCTAGTGCAAACTGTCAATATCTAAGTCAAAGCCTCCTGTAGACCTGGAATCTCAATGGGCACAACTGGTGCCTAAGCGAGTCCCGTCGGCTCAACTACATCCGGAATCTGCTCCTAAGCTGGAGCAACTGGTGGTGCTACAGGTGCTGCTTCAACTGCTGTACGAGCGACACCTCGACCTCTACCTCGGCCTCTACCACGGCCCCGACCTCTTGCGGCCCTATCTGGTGGCACTGGTTGCTGATCGTCCGATCCGGTAGTACGTGTTCTCACCATATGTGAGAGAATAGAATAGAAGAATTTTAGTTTTCCTAAGGGCTGGGTAGCCTCACGAAGATAAGTACAGATGTCTTCGTACCGATCTGCAAGACTCTATTAAGCCTGCTCATGACTCGTGATACCTATGTAACCTAGACTCTGCTCAGAGACAAGGTTTGCGAAATATGGCAGCTATCTCAGAATTTTCAAAAAAATCGACTGTATGAAAGAATCAACACCCACTGTATCCGGGATCACTTGGATCTGCACACGAAGTGAATGGTGTAGTATGAGTACAACCAACTCAGTAAGTAATAATAATAAATAAAGAACTTAAAGTAGTGACGAGTTTCTCAGCTAAGTCCAAATACAATACTTTCCAATATAAAAGAGTAGGCATGCTCTCAAGTTCAACATTTAAGATTTTACTGAAATTTCATATCAAGTTTGACCGAAACAGAAAATAATATTTTTCCGAAATTTCTAAAATAGTGATATATGACAGCTGAAATGCAGCAAATAATGAAATCAATGCATCCTCTCAGAGTAATAGTCACTCAGTCCTCCCATTCACTCCAACCTCACAGTCACTCTTTCCTCATAGTCACTCATCACTCGGCATTCGGTACTCGCACTTGGAACTCACACTCGGCACTCGCACTCAGTAGGCACCTGCTCTCACTAGGGGTGTGTACAAACTTCGGAGGGGCTCCTTCAGCCCAAGTGCTATATCAAGCTAATCATGGCATAAATCAATAAAAACATATTGCGGCGTGCATCCCGATCTATAAATATTCTCATAATTAGGCCCTCGGCCTCACCCAGTCATCAATCTCTCCAGTCTCTCGGGCTCAAGATGTCATGAAAATCAGCCCAAAATAATAATATGATACATCAATAAATAGCAACAGAGACTGAGATATGATATGAAATGAATAAACATGACTGAGTGTGAAATTACAATTTGAACATATAATTCAACCATAGAAATGAGCCCAATGGGTACCAATAATAACAATATATGTCTAAGCATGATTTTTAATACGAGTCTCAGCTCAATTTTTCCTAACACGTAGAGAATGTACGGATATCAATAGATAATTCAACTACATAGTCCCATGGAATTTGACCAAGTCACAATTCCTACGGTGCAAGCCCAAACGCCCGTCACCTAGCATATGTGTCACCTCAAAATCAATCAATCACAAAACACATAATCCAGGGTTTCATACCCTCAGGACCAAATTTAGAACTGTTACTTACCTTAAACCGTGTAATTCTTTATTATGATATGCCCTTTCCGTGAGAATTGGTCTCCAAAAGCCTCGTATCTAGCCACAATTAATTCGATTCAGTCAATACCAATTATTGTAATTAATTCCATACAGAAATACTAATTTTTCAATAAAAACTGAAATTAACTCAAAAATCGCCGGTGGGGCCAACGTCTCAGAACCCGATAAATGTTACAAAATATGAACGCCCATCCAACCATGAGTCCAACCATACAAATTTCACCAAATTCCCACATCAACTTGACTCTCAAATCTTCAATTAAAGTCTTTGAAGATTTCTACCATTTTCAACCCAGTCCTTACCCATTTGAACTCAACAATCTGTCCATAAACCTTAATGATAGGTATAAATAATACTCTTACACCCAAGAATCATACTCTTAATCACCCATCTTTACCCAAACTCGAAATTGAAGACTAGGGGTTAGAACCTTACCTCTTGGGTGAAGATCTTGTTATATTTCCTTGTTGGATTTCAAAGCTTGAACAAGATCTTGATGAACAAAGCACTTGAGCTTCTTCCTCTCTCTAGAACACTCTCCAGTCTCTAAAAATGTCAGATTTTTGCTCCAAAATGAGCTTCAAGGGCTATAAATCGAAGTTGGGTCGGGTAAAAAATTAGAAAGAATGGAAGTCCCGACGCAGTTATGCGATAACATAACACGTTTGCGGTCATTATGCCGCTCGCAGACCTGTTCTGCGATCACATAATGCACCGCAGAACGGGTCTGCGGTCGCATAATGCACCGCAGAACGGGTCTGCGGTCGCATAATGCACCATATATTTTCCTCAAATCTTGCCTCACAACTGCTTCACTCTACGGCCATTATGCCGTCCGCAGAGTGATTCCGTGGTCGCATAATGGATCGCAGAAACGCATTTTTTTGCCACAAATTTTTCTTTACTCCCCGGTGCATTGTTCAACTCAAAAGGTCCGAGCTGCGGCGAGAAATTTCTATAATCTTTGTACTAATTGATCTGCCTCGGCACCACAAAAGCTTAATTTCCTTAGCAAAAATTCTCAGGGGTCGTTACACATAAGTCAACATGCGATCAACATCCGGTCAATGTGGAGACTGTGTTGCATGAGATATTGACTAATGTGGTCATTCCTACTTTTGATATCAAGAATCTACAGCCAACAATTTTCTCCACTTTTGACGTCCTTTTTCTCCCTTTACCTCTGAATTTATGTTAAAATGTTTTTGTCTAGGTTTTGATTCAACTGATGGATATCTAAATATATATAGGAAAAGACTAACATATATAATTTCGAAATGCCAACAGGCCAGAGTAAAACCATTAATGGATGCTCGGCTCTCCAATATATGCATCAGCATATCAGCTGCTCCAACGTATCTTCCTGCACATTATTTCCAGACCCAAGATAAAGATGGCAACTTTCATGAGTTCAATCTTGTCGATGGTGGAGTAGCAGCTAACAATCCAGTGCGTACAGTACATTTTTTTTATTTTTTATTTTTACTATAGTTTATGGCCAAAATGTTTACAAGAAAATAAGTCATTTTCTGAAGTTTGGTTGCTATGGAAAATTTTACGGAGAGAATATTCTCCATCAAATTAAAGAGGGAAAATGACGATCCTCACTTTTGTGCGGAAGCCATTTCCCTTCCCAATTATCTCAATTCTTGATATTTATCCCGCTCTTGAACATACTATTAATCTTTATAATTCAAAATTTCATCGAAACATCTCAGATTTGCTAATATTACTATCAACTTTAATANCATACTATTAATTTTTATAATTCAAAATTTCATCGAAACATCTCAGATTTGCTAATATTACTATCAACTTTAATACTCCTAAATATTTTTTTGAAAAAATAATTCACTCTCCAATCGAACACACCATAAATTCTTTCTAAGAAATAGTTCATATCATTTTTGTTTTCTTCAAAAAATGACTTCTGCCATACCAAACGCATTATATATATCCTTCTTTCTCTTTTTTCTTTCCCCCCTTACATGTGAGGTTTGTATAGTTGGAAATCTATATAGGAGTATATGATTTGGCAATTGCTATTTCAGGCCCTTGTTGCTACAAGCGAAGTGACCCATCAAATAATGACTGGAAACCCAGATTTCTTCCCAATCAAACCCATTAATTATGAAAGGTTTTTGGTGATATCTATAGGCACTGGATCAGCAAAAGTGGAACAGAAATATAATGCTAAAATTGCATCCAATTGGGGTATTTTGGGATGGCTTCTTAATGGAGGTTCAACTCCAATTGTGGATGTTTTTACTCAAGCCAGTGGTGATCTGGTTGATCTTCATATTTCTGTTGTTTTCCAAGCTCTTCAGTCTGAAGAAAATTACCTTCGTATTCAGGTACAATTATATAAGCTTAAAAATAAAAATTCTAAGAAGTACTGATTGGTATTAATAGATGGATCGCCCTTTTCGTCCTTAAAGTTGATCTTTGTTGCCCAAGACCAACTAAGGTTGTAAGAGTCAATTAAATGGTGGAACTCCTTTCGGGAACTCCGATTAACTTATCTTATTGAGGTTCTCTTTTCGGATTGATTTTCTCATTTGATCCTAAATTATTCGACAACTTGAGTGTCTTAACTATCTTATTCTTGGCAAGGGCAGATTTAGGGTACGAAACGGGTACACTATAAATATCAGGCAAAATTCGTTTTATGCCTCTATATATTATATTTTGTATCCCCTTAACGCAGTCCAAAAGCATAGCTCAGTGATCAGGGGGGTTCAAAACCTTTGTGAGGTTGCTCGTTTAATTCCCATTGGCCACAGTCTTTTTAAATTATTTAATTTTTTTTTAACCTCTTTAGTGAAAATCCTGCATCCGCCACTAAATTTCTTTGCTGTTAGATGAGAAGTTGTGTAGAGAGATAATAGAATCTCCCCGGGGATGGTAGCTTCTATTCCTTGATTGCGGGTTGTCCTGGTTTGCTACATAAAAACAATTGATTGAATAACCTTTTAATACATTTTAATATATTGCCTCTTTTCGTCGTCTTTTCGTCTTCTTGAGCCGAGGGTCTATCGGAAACAGCCTCTCTATCCTTTCGGGGTAGGGGTAAGGTCTACGTACACTCTACCCTCCCCAAACCTCACTAGTAGAATTTCACTTAGTCGTTGTTGCTGTTGATGTTGTTTAGTCGACATACAGTTGAAGCTGCTTTGTTTGGAGATCCACCTATTTTCAAATAAAATTTAATTATACTTTAATAGCGTAAAAGGTTGTTATAATATCTGTTGTATCATGTTACTTATCATGTTTTGCAAGTTATACCATTTCATGCTTGCAATAAAAAAATTAGTTGTAATTAGCTTTTGAGCGACCTATAATATAAATTTTCTGTATACTAGTGCCGTGTATATTAGTCAAACTCTTTCAAATATAATATTGGAAAAAAGAGAGGAAAGTTTTAGATCTTATGACTTTATATTGACTAAGATAATTATATTGTTCATCAATTGTAGAATGACACATTAATTGGAACAGACTCCTCTGTTGATATAGCAACCAAAGAGAACATGGACAAATTGGTAAAAATAGGGAAAACTTTATTGAAGAAACCAGTTTCAAGGGTAAATTTGCAAACAGGCCTATCTGAACAATGCGAAAATGGTGGCACAAATGAAGAAACTTTGAAAAGGTAATTCAACTCTCTTCTGAACATTACCATCTTATATAGTTGTATATAGTAATACTAATACCAAGAAAAGTATTTCGTGTTAATTAATTAATTGATTTATATTATATTTGACAGGTTTGCGAAGGTACTTTTAGAAGAAAAAAGACTCTGGGATTCCAAGTCACCTCATACAAACAAAACCTCAGAGTAGCACATCATTTCTTTGGAGCACAGAAGAAATCATTGTCTTTATTTAGCTTTGTATTTACTTTAAAGCTTTAATTTGTTATAGGGAATGAATTGGATAAGTCTCAAAGGTGCAAGATAACAATTTTCTATTTTATAACAAAAGTTGTTGACTTTTAAAAACAACCTAATATTAACAGCTACGAACAGCAAGTCATGATATTGTTTGTTGTGTCTGCTAAAAATCTGTTTTTGAAACACGTTTATAAGGTTAAGAATTACATTTTTGGAAAATTAATCAAAATCATGTCATTATTTGAATATGCAACACGTTTATAAGATTAAGAACTACGTTTCGCAAAATTCAGCAGTCAAAATCATGTCACTTAGGGTGTGTTTGGTATGACGGAAAATGTTTTTCCATTTTTCATTGTTTGGTTGCACAAAATAATTTGGAAAATATTTTTCTAGATATCACATTTTTTCGAAATTAGAGTAAAATGACTTCCCTAGAAAAAGTTAGGAAAATATTTTCCAAAAACTCCACCTACCCTCACATCTAACCC